TGTTGACCTCTCTAGCTGCTGTCACTCCTTCCTGCTGCCTGTCCCGAGAGGCCAAACTGCGGGCTGAGAGCGAGGAGGCATCTCAGTCTGTTCACCTCTCCACCCCTACCTGGGCCAGGCCTCCCCCTGGCTCCGGCGTCTTCTCTCCATAGGCGTGTGGCCTGGGTCAGCGTGATGAACGCTGGCAGGAAGTGACTCAAAGCCAGCGTCCCTCGTGGGGCACTCGACTCCTAGGAGCACAGGGCAAGCAGCTGTCAGTTCTGATGTGTCTGCCAGCTCGCTCGTGTCTTCGTCACAGCAGTCCCCGTGGGGGCCTCCCGCTGTCTCCTCAGCACCCTGCCCTGCGTCAAGGCAGGTCCTCGGGGAGGAAGTGACACTGACCCCCTGAGGGGCTCCCCCTTGTGCAGGCAGATCCTGGACAGGCTCTATTCTGGAGCCTCCCCCGTGCTCCGAGGGCGGGTCACGCATTCGGACAGACGTGGAGCCTCACACACCCTGCGTGCACATTTGAGTGTGGGGAGCCCAGCAGAGCTCTCGCTGCAGCTGGGAGCCTGGCAGTGCCCTCCTGTGGGGCCTGTGCGCCTGAGAGCAGGCATACTGTCAAGGCTGCCATGAGAATGACCTCTAGACTCACAGACAGGTCGGGGGCAGCAGGAAGACAGATGTACAGAAGCTTTTCCCATAGGAATTTCAACGCGTTCCCCTTCCCTCCATTTCCCGAGGACAGTGCAGGGGTGAGTGGTTACAGAGGTGTTTCTGGAGCGAAGGTCCGGGGCCTGGCCTCCCGGATTGCTGGTGGCCGCTCCACCCTAGTCTCCCAGGTCAGCGGGTGGCTCTCAGACCCAGGAAGGTGCTGGTGGCGTGAGCCCTCTGTGGCACCTGAAGCCTCCTGGCTCCCCCTGCTAGTGGTCTGAGGGCCTCCGGGCCTTGGCCGGATCTGGGGGGTGGGTTTTGAATTCTGCCGGGAGTTGAGGGCGAGGAGGGAGGCCTCGGTGCTGGGGCGGCAGTTACAGCGGCCGTGCCTGCTCGGAGGCTGCAGCTGCTGGCCTGCGTGTGCCTCCCGAGGTCGCTGCCTTCATCTGAGCAGCTGGTCCTCTCCCTTCCTTTGCAGGACAAGGAAGATGGGGAGCCAAAGACCAAACAGCTCAGAGAAGGGGAGGAGGAGGGCGAGAAGCACAGGTAAGGCCCGCTCGCAGCTCCCTGCCCTCCTGCCCCCCAGCCCCCGTTGGTTCTCAGGTCATCCCGCTCTGCATCCAGGCTCTGCCCTTCCTTCCTCACCGGCCCCTCTGCCCGGTCAGACCCGCGCACCTCCCTCA